CCCCCCTATTTGCGCCTATGGATGTGAGCAAACAGCACACGATGGTATACTGATAGAGGTGATTAGTTATCTGTTCTGCCTAACAATACAAACACATTATGCCTTTTTTATTATACAAAATATATTACATAACAAAATTGACTATTTTAGCTTACTTGTTTCGACTTGTAGTTCGGATTCCTTTTAATGATGAAAATGTAGTCGCTATTGAGCGGCCAACAGCATTGCACATTCAATGGTATGTCATCGTGGTGAAGTTTGCGTTGGTATTCTTCAGATTTTGATAACTAATTCAAAATGATAAAGTCATAATTAATGATAATTCATAATAACTAATATTAAATTTRTCGTCAAATCTCGATCGCGTAATGGGTATGTTGTATTTAATGTATTTACCTCGTACAAAGAAAACTGTTCGACTTGCTCTTTGCTATTATAACAGTTGAGCAATATTCTGATCAGCTCGTCGACGGTAGTGCGTTCAGAGATCAATAAGCTTTTATACTTGGACTGATAAAAACAAACAAAATTATTAATACAGATGAGTTCAAAGTTCGATGCAAGAATAGCCGTAACACTTACCCCTGGCATCAGTTCACCGTCGTACACTTTCACAAGGCCACCTTTTTTGGATTGCAAGCAAAACCTTAAAAAATAATAAAACGCAATTGTTAAATTTGGTTATTGAAAAAAATATAAATAAATATCCAACAAACGATAATGCGTGGAGTTACTAAAACACAATTATTAACACGAAAGGTTTTAAAGTTTTAAATATTTCATTGAAAATGGTAAAGAAAAAAACCTATGTAGATGAGACCATAAAATGTCAATGTATCAAACCGGAATCGGATAATAATAATAATAATAATTATTATTATTATAAGTCGAACCTGTTTTACGCTTATCGCAATAATATAAAAATAATATAGTTAATATTACTAGTTTAATACTATTATGATATTTACATTTTAATTATTATAGAAAATTAATTCTATACATAGCTTGACTTTCGAACAATAAAAGATAGTCGATAGTTCGGTTCGAGATTAATTATTAGTTCCACTCATAAAGTCATAACTAATAATAATATTATAACTACCTTACTCAATGGCCTATGTTGCCGCAGGTTCCCAATAAAAAAATAATAAATAATATAACTAACCTCGATTCTCCTCTAGGGTGGCATGACTGCAACACGGCAGGACACGATTCGTTGTCCAAGACAAAAACAGTTCTGAGTCCTGAATAAACACCAAAATACGATCATTGTAATGACGATATTTTACATAAATAACTCAATGATTTAAATGTGAATCGCAGTCATTCACTTATTACCACCATTAACCGCGTTAACCACCTACCGATTTTCCTGAGGTTTATTTCCATGGTCATGTAAAACAAATTCGGATCCCTGTGACGCATTCGGTATTTGTTGAGCAGAATTGATATCACTTCACTGCAAGTCGTCGTATAAGCCAGCCCGAGTGTTTTGTACTCAAGGTCGGCACGCAAACACTTTGTGTATACTTTGATTGTATCCTATAATATTATAATATATCGTATATTGTTGTCGCATTAATAATTTCGTAAGACCATCAAATTTAAGACGTGTCAACCGTCGAATTATTCAGCCCGAGTACAAAATATATTATATTATTAATTAATAGCCTAACGGCATTATTTATCTTTCACAGGGTTTAGGGATGTTGAATAAAAAGTAAAGAATGGACATAAGTTAATACATAAAATAGTGTAGGTAATTGTTAAGATCAATTTTTATGTTAAAATAATCGATATTTGAAACTAGAACTAGTATAGTTACTAATTTTGTATTTGTAACGTTTAACTAAAAAAATTGGAATMAAAAATATGTTTTTCAAAATTTAGGTAAATTAAATCTTCTAAGAACTTACGACTGGGTTTGAAATGTTCAACGAAGTTATGCTTGAACACCTACTAGACATTGGCTCATGGTTGAAAGAACTTGCCGTAGACACAATGCTAAGTGTGTCGGCACATTTTGCTCGGTGCACGTGTTTCAACATGGTTGCTTTTTTTGGACCCTTTTATCTTTTTTCACCGTCCGACATAAACCAACTCGAGTGACAAATCGTTTAAAACCTGAAAAAACAGAATTCTCAATTGATGACCGACAATTTATTTACTAAAATTAATTTTCATAGAGTTATGTTTTAAGGTAGAAAATAAAAGAACTATATTTAAATCAAACCGGTACACCACATGACGTCATRACGTCTGCAGTTACAAGTTATAATTAAAACTAAGCACACACACCGGTGATGATCTAAAAATAGAATTTTTTCAACCCAATTTCCCAATAGTTTWATGAATTAAATTGGTCTAAGAAATACGTAAAATAATATCATGTCAACAGTAATATTTACCAAATTTATACTTTGTTATGAAACACAAAATACAAATAGATCAACAGGACCCACCCTTAATTTACAGTGTAAAAACTGAGTTTGTGCGAATGAAAACTGTAATAATACTAAAGTCGCTAAGTTTTTATTTAGATGAAAATATTATCTATGCTAACAACTAATAAGTTACCAAACTGTTAAAAACGCTTTATTATKGATAATGTTCAAAATTGTTTTTGTTTTGTCTAACAAAAACAAYTAGAATGCACAAGAGCACCACATTTAGAACAGAAAATTCTGTTGAGAATATGGCTACCTGGTTTTGTTTGTCGGGGCTTAAGGAGCTTTGTGTATGCAACAACAAGTACTTATTATACCTTTAGCTGCCTATACAGTGCTTGTCTTCAAATCATATAATATCTAATAGTGTCAAACTCGTTCTGTATTCAACAACAGGTAACGATTTTTGAGTTTTTCCACACAACTGGACCTCCCTTCCATCTTAATTCATGTTGTTAAATCTTATTTTTAGTTATTAAATTTACTTACAGCACACAAATTACAGTAAGTAAATAAACTTTTATTTAAATTCAAACATAGTAACGATTTGTCTACTTAAAAATAAAAATTATAAATAATATAATGACAATATTCATTAAAGAAACAAAAATATATAATAAAAACTAAGAACAACAAAATGTAATTATAGTGTTCCCATGACGTTCCCGCTTTTGATTGATGCGTTATCGCCGGGTATAGTGGCGTGGGTAAACATGCAGTCGTAAATATTATTATAGTTACGAAACAAAATRTTTAAACGAGAAAGACGGTAACTTATAATTCTAGGCGAGTTATTCTATTAAGTGAGCTACATTAATGCCACAAAAAGTACACCCAACGCATATTACATAATAACACAATACACAAACGTCACCAACTTCAATGATTCGATGACATCATGATGCGTTGATGCATACAAAAAATTATCCTTCTAATGCACAGATTAAGTCTAAAATATTTGTTTGTCGACTAAATATCTTGACGGTAAAACGGAACTCCAACTAGTTAATTTTCAATCTGTTTTCATCGCGACAATTTATTATATTATTAAAGTTCACGGGGACTTCATTTATTTGTCCGTTTTTTGAAGAGGGCATGGATTATTCTAGGTGAGATATTACATTGTTCGGCATCAAAAAAACTACTAATTTTATCTTCATCGTTTTAATCTATATATATATATCTTGGTAAAGTTACGTTTTTATTAATTCGTAAATAATTATTGATCATTTTTAATTTAAAATTATTTGTGACGTTTTAATACCTAAGTATGTATAATAAAGATTTTTCTAACAAAAACCACTTTAGCTGCATACTTTAAAGAATTTTTTAGTCTAATAAGTCATGTGCTCTTAATTATAATAATACATCGCCTACCGATGAGCTATGAAGCAACTTAGAACAAAGAATTCGTTTTCGCTCATAATTCTTAGTCACTCGCCAAACGCGTTTTGTTCATATTGTGTCTAAAAAAACGAACGTCACCTAAACTTTAAAAAATTCAAAATTTGCCACGTTTAAAATAATCGTTCTCATTCAACTAACCCGAAGGTTTGCCTCATCACAGATTTTCRAAACATTTGAAATTTCAACATGGTTAATAACATAATATCACATGTTTTACGACGATTGCACTTTTAAAAGCTCTCTTCGGAGCCAATTGGTTCGCCTAATCTGCTGAAACTTATTTCTGGCCGAGATTACAGCTGGGTGGTGGTTCGTTAAATAATTGCCGTTGACACACGACACGCGTTTCTCGATACATTCTACAGCTGATAGTGTGTGTTTAACGATGACCGACGACAATCAACAACGACCAGTGCAGGTATAAATAGTTGGAAAGGTGCGATGGAAAATTAGTATTTTTCTCAAATGTGTAATGTAAACGAGGAGAGCATTTTGGTTAGTGACATTTTCGATTTATAAGCAAAAGACGAGTCGACAGGTAAAAAAAAATTTGAAARATTTAAAAAATGTGTGCAGACGAGTTGTAGCGTCATTATGTTGTTGTCTGTACCTACAAAAAGATAACGAACGAAAAACCGATTAATTTACTATTTAGGTACGCAGAAAACACAAAAATATCGAATTATTTGTTTACGCCAGCAAAATGATAGATAATGATGTGAAATAATAAAAAAATAAAATTATTTCATGAGTAGTCAACACGCAAATCGGATTGAAAAAAAAKACCAACACATCATTATTCCTCTGTGGTATTTCGATGGAAAAAATAATGATAAATATTTTTATTTATTTGTTTTGATTTTCTACACGGAATTTTTATTATATTATATAATATTATATCATATAAATTCGTATTAAAAATAAAAAAAAAAATAAATAGTTTATCGACGCCCTGGAGAAAAGATTATTAATGATTTTATACATTTTATTATTTACCAGGAATAGTCCAAAAATCATAAATGTTATATTTTGCGCGAAAAGACGGACATCGTCCTCAAATATTTGTTTTGAAAATATCTCGAACATAATATTATTCTAATACAATATTATACAATTTGTTATATTATATTATCTCAACATTCGACAAAGACATGAGGTCACATTGGTCACAAGGATTTTAAGATAACATGTGAGGACAACATCGGTATTTTAAAAAGAAACAATTATAACGATTCAAATTGAAAAATTGAAATGCCAATTCTAAGAAGATAACTACAGCCTGTAGTCTGTACAGTGTTGGTTTCTATATATAGTTAGTATATTATAATTACGAAATTAAATAGAAAATGCATAATACAAAATACGATATAACTACTGTTACAGATCGGACGTCACTGCTTACAAATTGCGATATAAGAGCTCAATTTTATATCAAAATGAAAGAGAACAATATTGTTTTGGGCATTTTCGCTAAGCTAAATACATTTCGTATTGAGAATTTGTATACATATTATATTATTTTTATTTTTCTAAGACAACTATAAATTTTAAAACATGTTTG